TCCACTTTGATTTCCTATTAACTTGATTTGAAGCCCTGTATTGCTCTCACCATCTTCTTTTGACTGATTTTACTCTATTTTGTTGTTTGATAGTATCAAGTTTGAGGGTATAGGCAACTACTTTGAAGACAATAAGATTCACTGTGATGCCCATTCTGGTTTGACTATTATCTTCTTTTGAAGTCCTGTCTCCAGTGTTTCGGTTTTATTGGTTTTGTTTTGTACTGTTTTGTGCAATTTTATTATAACTGATAATATAGGAAATTCTTTTTAAGACAGCAAGAGGCATTATGGTAACCATTGTTGATCACTTTGTATTCTGATTTTACATCACGTAGTATCCATTCTTTTGATTTGACTGACTCTTTTTTGTTTTTGTCACATTTGGTTTTACTCTCCTCAAAAAAAGTAATAAGAACTGTGGGAGCAATAAAACCCAAAATGTGTAATTGTTATTGTAAAAAGGAGAGGAAAAAAAAGTGCTCCAAAGTATATAACTGCATGTGTATTTAAGTGTATAAGATAGATAACCATATTACTGGTTTTTGTTGGATCATTGAACAGAACTGTTTGCACTCTCACTGTTTGAATGTCCACTTTGTATGCTTTAATTTTGTAACCTGATCAACTATTTCTAAGATGACAATATGTAATCTATTAACTAGTGATTTGCTTATTTTTTTGAAATTCTGTATTACTTGTACCCTTTTTCTGTTTTGTTTTTCTTCAAATAAAATTTTTAAAATAAGAAATAATCTTATGAGAGTACAGGATAAAGCCATAGTGTATATTTGTTAGCTCGGAATGAGTAAGCCTATAAAGGGAACAGCCAAAGACAAAAATGCAGGGAAGTCATGGGAAGAGAGATTCAGAGTAATACACTGAAAGTCCACCACATACCAAGGGGAAATTCACTAGATATATGAAGACATATCCCTATCTTGGAGACTAACCTGGATTTTTTTAAGTTATATGAGACTGAAATAAGGTGACAAGTGAAAAAATATAGCAAACATGAGCAAAACTCATTTTTTAGAAATGTGTAATGAATACAAGTTGGGAATGTGCAGTATATGAACATGTGTGCTTATAAATAAGAGACATATTACAAAACAACGAGAAATTTCTGCTTTTGGCACAACTGACAATCTTTCCAGAAGACAACAATTATGAACTTAACTAATTATAAAAAGCAACCAGTAGCAAGGTAAGAAAAGCAGGCAGAAACTGGGAGTCAACCATTGGAAGGTAGACAGACCATGAAGGAAGTTTTGAATTCTTAGGGTTTTTAGCCTAAGGACAGACAACAGTAACTAGAAGAGCAGCTCAAATTTTTATAAAAATCCTTACAGTCTTATAGCATCAAAGAACCTGAAGAGTAGGGTGATCCGAGCTCTTACAACATAGTAGGAACAATTCCAGGAAAAAAGAAAGAGAAGAACAGAGCTTGAATCCTAACTCTATACCCTTTTCATAATCTCTACATGGCTGAACCATAAACAACAACAATTCAATTACTCCATATGCAAATGAGTAGAAAAACATGAGTCATTGTAACAAGAGAAAAGACAACATAGACTAAACCCACAAGAACTCAATGCAAGTCACAGACAAGGAATTTCATATAGCAAAATGAATATTAGGAATATGGTCCAGGATGCAAATAAAGATATTCACATAATGAATAAAACTACAAGAAAATACAAAAACAGTGGAATAGACATTGTCAATAGGACTCAAGTGGAAATTCTAGAAAAAATAACAATATTTGAAAAAAAGTCACTGCATGATACAAATGGGAGAATAAGGATGATGAAGACAGAGCTGTAGAAGTTATCTAATCTGAAGAACAGTCAAAAATGTCTAAGAAATTTAACAGAAACATAGGGACAAGAGCAAAATTCAAGTATGTGTAGAATTTGACTCCTAGTAAGAAAATAAGGTAGAAAAATATTGATAAAGTGACCTAAACTATGCCCAATCTAGTGAAAGATATAAATGTACACATTTAAAAAGTTTCAATGAACACCAAGCAGGATGGTTATAAAGAAAACCACATTACATTTGTTAGTCAGAATGCAGCAAACATTGAGAACATTCTAATTGAAATAAGCTAATCAGAAAAAAACGAATATTGCAACTACTCTTATATGAAGTACCTAATAAATTCAGAGAAAGAAATAAGTGTTAATATAGTTTTGCAAGATGAAAAATGTTTTATAGGATGTTGACTTCCAACACTATGTGCAGTTAATGCCAATGAATTGTACACTTAAATAATTAATATGGTAGTGTATGCTACACGTATTTACCAAAACTTAAAAAAAAAAGATCCTATTATGGGTTGTACCTAGATGAACCCCCAGAACCTCAAGTACTCATAGGTGGGGCTTTTTAGAGCTGGCTGGATCTAGGGTGTGTGACACTAGAATTAACCATATTTGGTAATAAATTACTCCCCTAACTGGAATTAGCATAGTTCTGAGTGTGGCTGAATAATTCACTGAAGACAGAAGCCCCACTCTCTGAGTGTATGTGACAGCAACCAAAAGGCTTGTAGCCTGAATAGAATGAAAGGGAAAGGCAAGCTTGCTGCTTCGCTGATTTGCTACCTCCTGCCTGGCATGCCATGCTCTTCTATGATGCTGTTCTGCATGCCACCACACCTTGGAGTCATCAGACTACGGACTGAAACTTCTGCAAATGGAGAATCAAATAAACCTTTCCTCCTTTAACTTGCCGAAGTTGGGTATTGTGATTCATAGATGAGAAAAGTAACTAAGACAGAAGCCAAGGTCACTCAATGGGAAAAAGTGATAAATATTGCTGTGGGAACTTGATAGATACATGCAGAAGAGTGAAATTGGACTTTCACCTAACCCATATACACACAGTAAGTCAAAGCAGGTCAAAGGCCTAACTATGAAGCCTAAAACTGTAGCAAAACAAGAGGAAAACAAAGAGCAATTTCTATAAGCAACAACAACAACAACAACACACACACACACACACACACACACACACACACACACATACACAAAACTTCATGAAAAGTAAAAATCTGAAGACAACATCCACAGGGCAAAAAAGGCAGCCTATAGAATGGGTGACAATATTGACAATATATCTTAGAAGACATGTATAGAACATCAAACATAATTCGAGACATATAGAACATAGAATGCAACTCGACAACAAATTAAATATGGATGTGATATTTAAACACACATTGATCCAAATTAAGACCTTAAAATGGCCAGTAAACACATAAAAAGATGCTCAACATCACTTATCATTAGAAAAATGCTACTACAGAGAGATACTACCTAACATCCATTAAAGTAGCCACTACTGAAAATAAAGACAATATACATTAACAAAAATATGGAGAAGTTGAAACTCCTGTGTACTGTTAGTCAGAATATAAAATGGCATAGCCATTGCAAAAAATGAGATAGTTAACAAAAAAATGAAAGTAGATTTACTATAGAGTAACTCTATACTTTATTGTAACTTTACTTCTGGGTATACACCAAAAGAATTGAAAGCAAAGTCTCAAGGAGATATCTGTAGTCCCATATTCATAGCAGCATTATTTACAGCTAGATTATAGGATTAACCAACTAACCACTGAATGAATAAGCAAAGTGTGGTATACATATATGATTGGAACATTAGTCTTAAAAAAGATAAAAATTCTGACACAGGGTACAACACAGAAATCATGCTAAACGACATAAGCCAATCAAAAAAGTGTTACAGGATCCTATTTATAACACACAACAGTACTCAAAATCTCAAAAACAGAAGGTAGAATAGAGGGTAAAAGTGGTGGTGGTGTTTTTTAAAGGGTACAACATTTTAGCTCTGAGAAATGAGTTCCACAGATGATAGTGATGGTTTACAGTATTACAGTACTTAAAAGCCACTAGGGTACTTAAAAGTAAAATTCCTAATTTACATTTGCTCCTCTTCAGGGTCCATCAGCTACAGTGCAAGCAGGACATGCACAGTGCATGTATCTATCATGTTCCCACAGCAGACCACCATCCTGGACAACTTTCTTGAGCCTTGGAGACTAACAACAGACTTTTGTCCTTTTTTTATGAGAAATAAACTAGTCTCATATGTACTGTGTGTCATTTCACCACTCAGGCAATGGGTAAAATGTAGCCCAGGATGCAGAGTGAAAGCGTTTCTGGTTGTTGGCACAGTGATCTTTGCTACATGGCACACAAAAAGTTGGGCTTGACATATTACTTTTAAATCTTTTAACTTTCTCCATTCATTTGGGACTCCTTTCAGGGATTTTTTCAATGCATAAATCTTCAGTAGTGGTAAACTTATTACAACATACTTTAAGTTTTTGGTGAATTATAAATTCAACCAGTTAAACTTTATTTTCCAATACTTTACTACTACATAAAATATTAACACTACATTATTATGTATCTTGTGTTTCCATTTTCACTTATTAAACAAATTGGTTAGATTTTCTAGATAAGAAATTTCACCCGTGAATGTAAACAATTTCCCTGCTTCCCTTTAAGATTTTTATATATATTTCATGCCTTACTAAAGTGGCTAATGTGCATGCTAATAAGCTTAAGAAACATACATGTCTGTAATTCATTTTGAAGGGTATCAAAATCATAAAATGATAGCTGAAGGGACAGTTACATAACAAACTAGTTACATGTCCATTATGAAATATTGATATGAGTGATATCAATTTTTTAAATTTTGTTGGAAATTTTAATATTATGAAAATCAAAGTAAAAGACATGATGCAGTTGTGAAGCAGAGGCTGAAAAATATCAGAAAGGAGAAAGGACAGGAAAAGGTTGAGACACAATAAAATTTAGTGGAACCCACGGCACAGGCAGAGGGATTAGGCTAAAAATGGAAGATAAACAGGTTCTCTATTGTATCTGAAGCTAGGATGCATACAAATGCAGGTTCAGGAACATAAAATGCATACAAATGAACACACAGAAATATGGAATGCATACAGATTTATTTTTACAAGCGGGCTGATAGAGAGGTAAGGTGATCTCTTCCAAATTAAGTTTTGAGAGAGGTATTGTGGAGCCTACATTAGAGAAACACGTTTGTTTGTGCACTTTGAGGGCCTATTTCTTGGTTGGTAATTGTGAATTTATTAGGGTGAAGCCTGTGCTCACCTATGGATTCAGTTTCTCATCTGTAAAACAGAATAAAGTCTAGTACAAAGCCTGTCAGAATTAAGTGAGAAAACCCAGGAAGAACCACGAAGAGGGCCCAGGCCAACCCCTTCCTGTGAGGCAGTGGCAGTCATGCAGCCTGGGAAGAGAACCAAGAAGCTAACTTCTTCCTATGAACCAGAGCAGTTATGGGCCACGCCAACCCTTCCTGTGAACCAGCAACAGCTATGCAGCCTGGGAAAACCACCAAGAAACAGCTAGCCTCTTCCTATGAGCCAGCAGCAGTCATGGGCTGAGCCAACAGCTTCCTGTCAGCCAATGGCAGCCATGTGGTTCCCACCCTTACTACTTCACAATGGGGATTAAATTTCAATACATGAACCCATGGAATACACAGAAAAACCAAATCTAAGGCATAGTCCTTGGTCAGTAAAAATCGTAGGTTTACACATTCAAGGCTGCTTGCAATCGCAGTAATAGATCTGACTTAGTACAAGAAAAAGGGAAATCTATAACTTTTTGGATGAAACCTACAGACTTGATTGAAAAAGGAAAATCTGTATATATCTTCCCTAGCCTAAAGTTACAAGCCTGGATAAAGACTGAAAAATCCTGACATAAGGAACAGTATGACACCAAGCATAAGTTCACACGTACATCTATCTCATCAATGCTAAACTACAAAATGAAAACCAAGAAACAGTCAAACTATAAGAATATTTTCCTCAGGAGTCCACACATTTAAAACAATGTTTATTTCTTAGTGACTGATATTTATTCAAATCACTGAAATATTCTCATGCTATATTGTGCTAGAATCCCTAAATTCTCTGCAAAAAATGTAACTCTGGAGGGATACAAAATAATCCTTAGGTGTAAATTTCCTTCAACAGGTAAGAGATTAGACAGAAGAAAGTGGACATATCATACAATGTATACTTGAGAAACAAATGTATAAAGTAAATCATTTTCTAGGTACAGTTTCTAATTGTGTCCTTTCAATATATTTAAATACTACAGGAACAATTTTTTAAGACACAGAGTAATGATTAGTAGTTCACAGAAGAAACATTATATAAAAAAATGCAAATAAGACATGACTAAGTGGTTACTTTATTATATCCATGGCTCTCCCAATATAAATTGTATGTAGATGATAGTTCTGAAAACAAATGGAAGAATTGCTGACTGAAATCAGAACATCATGCCTTCCAATCCATCCTCCATGAACTTCTTATAAAGTGCCATGAATTTGGCCACAAACGCTTCCAAGTGATAAATGGCTTTGGTACCCAGCTGTAGACGATGTTCGTAATAAGCTGCCATCTGGGTAACTTCCCCTTTCAGTTGTCCATCACAATTATGTAAAAGTTCTGAGAGCAGGCCCTACAGAAAAATCATCAGTAACTTAACAAGCAACCATTTAAAAAATAAGCCACACATGCTTTATTAGTCTCATTCTGCCCAAAAAATATAACTTAAATATGCTTTTTTATATACAGTATTACAAAACTTTATGTTAACTAGTACCCTTCATCCAAAACCAACTTTTTACTTCTGAAATATAAAAATATGGTGACCTACCATATTCCAAATAGCAAATACAGATGATCTCTGAATTATGATACTCCAACTAAATAATTTTTTGCCTTCATGATGATATAAAGTCAACATACATTCAAAAGAATTCATACTTTCAATTCTGATCTTTTCCAAGGCTTGTGATACACAGAACTCTCTTAAGATGCTGGAGACAAACATGTTCTCCACCAGTCACATGATCAGTAGGATAAATAACCAATATTCTCAACCAATGGTGGTGCATGCTGTAGCCAACTGTTTGTTACAACTAAAAGCTCTAAAAGGCTTGCCATTGCTGGACAGCGAACTGTGTTGTTAAACTATGATGCTCCAGTAAGTCAGGTACATAAAATGAATTTTTTTTTCAAGATGAAGTCTTTGCAATCCAGGCTAGTCTCCAATTCCAGCATTCAGTGGAACCTCTCTTAACCTCCCAAAATTCCCAAGGCATTCTAATTTAAAACATCTTCAACCTTTAATAGGCTTATTAGGAAATAACTTCAATCTATATTAAAGTACATCTGTATTTAATTGCAGAAGGGTACAAGGAGAGAGATACAAAGACATTTACTACAACTTATTTATTATAATAACCTACAGACAATCTAAAGTTTCAAAAGACATCATATTCAAAAACATGTGACACCCAGGCATGATGGCCTGTAATCCCAGCACTCAGGATATTGAGGCAAGAGGATCATTACAAATTGGAGACCAACAACTTAGGCTACAAAGTGAGCTCAAGGCCAGCCTGAACTGCAAAACAAAAAAACAAAAAACTCAAAAAAACAAAACAAACAAACAACAACAACAAAAAGTCAAAAACACTGATAGTCATGATACACTATCAAAAACTTATGATAATCTTTTCAGTGTGATAGACTAATAACAAGGTAAAACTGTACAATCACAGCACAATACCCATGACATATTGCTGAATGAAAATAGTGCAAAAAGCACAGAAATTTTGTGAAACTACACACATACACAAATATTTATTTGATTCTTGGTGAAAAGATCGGATCTGTTGAAAGTTTTTTACTTTTATAAATACAAAAATGGACCTTCACTTTTTTGTTAGCATAAGTGTATCATTTTAATTTTTTCATGTAAGTATTACTATGTAATTTTAATAAAAAATTTTTTAAAAAACCAAATTCCCTGGTATCTAGCCATCAATAAATTTAGCTACCTAGGTAACTGAGACCAAGCACGTATGGTTTGAACTTGCCTACCTTTTTTCTTATCATTCCTCACAAACACTGAATTTTGTTGTCTGAAATGCTTATTCTCCAGCTATTCATTTGGTTCTCTTTTCTTTATCCTCACTGTAAGCTTAAGTCTACCTTATCAAAGAAGTCATCTGCAGCCATTTATAACCACACCCTCCATTACATTCTCCTCATGTCCTTGTAACATTCATAACATTCTGAGATCTTTGTTTCCCATTTCACTCCACTAGAACATAACTTCCCTGCAGGCAAGACCTCCCCTCCCTCTTTTCCAGTCCCCTAATGTTGCCTGCCATATAAGAGGCTGAGTAATTACCTGTGGAATTATCGACATGAGAGAAAGAAGTGACAATGTATCTTATAAAAGTCTTGCCATCACACACAAAAAAATCCAAATTGTATAAACAATTCGAATTCTGAAACTTGGTTACCTTCATTATTATCTCAGGAGGAATACAATGAGTTAGAAGCTCATACAGTCTTCCACGAACTTCAAGGAGTCTATTATAAAACAAAATAATTACTATTTTGTGATGAAAATAAGGAAAAACTTAAATATAGACACATTTTCTTCTACAGTTTATCACATTCAGGATGCACATGCAGATGCTTCTAACTTCAGTTCCTTTCAGTACTCTTACAAAGTAGACAGCCAGATGTGGTGGCACATGCCTACAATCCCAGAACTTGGGAGGCTGAGGCAGGAGGACTGAAGTCAGCTTGGGCTACAAAGTGAGTTCAGGGCCAGCCTAAACTGCATAGTGAAACTCTGTCTCAAAAAAAGACAGAGACAGACAGACAAAATAAAGACATTTATAAGCAGGTTGTTCATTGTATCAGCCATGAAAATGCCACATAGAAATTAAGACTTCACGAGTGATGCAGGTCAAGCTTATTTACACCATGGAATTGAATACTCTTTAATCACATATCAAGTACTGTTTATGTTTTTATCTTCAGATAAAAACCATTTAAAAATCTAGAAAATGGTAATGAAAAAATTAACTAGCTAATGGCACAACTGATTAGATAATATAAGGGTAAAACAATGCTACATTTAGACTGCACACAAAAACAATCAAAAAACAATAAAAGAGAGACCCTAAAGCGAATGTATACATTTAAACTCTCAGTCCTCTAACCCTTAACACCTTCTCATAGTATCTTCAGGAAAAGAAAGCCTGGTATTAATAAACCATAAATAGTCAAAACATGTCATGATATAAAATTCTTTTAACATGATATAGCTTATTTCCAAAAGGAAATTCAGATTTACCTACAGAATTGTGATGTTGCACCTTATACATGGTAACTGTATGTATTAACATATGTCTCATGTTAGTGTGAGTAACTAATGTTAATTTAGTTTCTAAAATTCAATGTATGCTAAACTTACTATATTAGTCCCACTACTTTTTGATGGGTTGCAAGTAATTAAGACTGTATAGTCTTCTGTCAAGGAAACTTGGTGATTCTAGAACTGTCTCAGCCTCTTAATAACTGACTGTCCCTGAACAAGTTAATCTTCCTGTTTGCTAATAAAGATACTAATATTTTTCTCATTCAACTTTTATGAGTTAAATGAGGTAACAGTGCAAGTATTCACTAACAATTAGCTTAGTATCCAAATTAGAAAATTATAATCATTTTGTCAAATGAAAATTAAGACAATATTGCAGCGAAATTAAGAGATCAAAATGACTATTGAAGCATTTGGCACTGAACAGGCCAATGATCAAAATGACACCAATCTGCCAGCATTTCTGTACAGCCACAAGGCTGAAATTAAGCAAAATTTCCTTATGTACAATGGATCACAATAGAGTCAACTGTCATGATATGAGTTTCAGAATATCAGTTACAGAATCAACAGCACCCTTTCTTATACAAATTCACTTATAAACTGTTAATACCTAGTAGGAAAACTGGAGGAAAAAGCAACTAGAAAAATCAGCGAAAGCAATAATCAAGTAAAATTTTAAAAATTTATCTGATAGTTTTCAAATGTTTACATATCCATACCAAAAACCCTTTAAGTACACATGAGTTATCATTACCCACTGCAATAGTTTATATGGCAGTCAAAGAACACATGTTACAATCCCTTTAAAGAATCTGTTATGAAAACTATAATTTATGGGATTTGTCAACCATAAGGAGAAAAACAGTATAGTCCTCTCACCATTATTTTCATTTAAACCAAAGAAATCTAAGTTCTAGTAGCTGTACTGAATCTATTCTGTACCCTTAAATGCTCATTAATGTGCAAACATGGGCTCTCAGTCCCTGATCAGCAATAAGGATATAAAACTGTGTTCTAGGGACCCTGAGAAACCCCCTCCACGTTTTCCAAAATTAGTGGGCCTTAGGCTTCATTTTTTATTTGGAGAAATCCAAACCATCTTTCTCAATCAAAACTGTCACAAATTAAGTAACTAGTGTATTCTCAGTACGGTCCACCATTGAATAACAAGACCCAGGAGAAGTAAGTGGAAATGTAGCAAATATGCAAAAAAACATTTCCAAAGAACCAACATATATACACAAAATTACTAATAGAGTCTACCATCAGGCGTAAGTAGAGTTTTTCAACTCTCAAACCATTATCATTCAATGCCTTTTGCTCTTCCTAACAAACACACAAGTGTACTTGAGAGGATAATAAAAATATTATCCTCATTATACAAATGAGAAAAGCTGAAACTCTGCTCAAGGACACTTAGCACATTATGCATCAATTACAAACTTATAGTTCTTTTATTAATAAGAAAGCTAGACACACTGTCTTGTGTAAAGTTTTAAACCACCTAAGATTTTGAAAGAAAAATGAAAAATCCTAAGGTTTTTTTTTTAATCTAGCTAAAAACTCCATTTAGGGAATAGGGATTTAGCACAGCAGCATAACATATACATATATATAATACACACATCCACTTTTACATGTTAACAGCTTTAAAAGGGTCAAGACATCATACACCAACTGTTATGACCACTAAATTTCTGGAATTAAACACTACCTTTTCTTTCAAGTTCAATACTTGGATTCAAGACTTAATTATATTTCTAAATGTCACAGTATTAACATAAAGCAGCTATTCTATCCTAATGATCGAACCTTAAACATCAGCTCATACTGGTTACCTCTGTGGCGTCTGCTGACTGACAATAGCATTTGCCGTCTCCCTCAGATAAACCTCCCAATCTGTCTCAGGGATTTCTTGATCTGCAGTAAAAGGATACCTACAGGACAAAAGGAGAATACAGTGAGTTCAACAGTAGTGTGCTTATGTACCACAACGTCACCTGCAGGAACTGCCCCTTTCACTCACTGTTGTACTCTGCAGGCTTCACACATCAGTAGAGCTTTTCTGAGATTTCTGCAGGACTTTTCTGCAATTCTCTGAGCCAGCTGTGAAGGAAGACTCAGACCTTCCTTTTTGCATACAGTAGATAACACATGACAAATCTACAAATTACAAAAAATGAGCAATCTGTCAAAAAGTGTATTGAGATAATTTGTTGACATATCTATAGAGCTTCTTAACTGTATTCTTTAAATCTTCCTAAGTAAAACTTAAAAAGATACTTTGCCACTCTGAGCAATGCCACTCTATTGCAATGTCATACATTACTATTTTATACAAATTCTCCCAAACATATTAACAGCAGGAAAGCTGCTCATTGTGAGAGTATTTTTTAACTGATTAATGATATTGAAAAATGACTGTTGTTTCAGATTTTGATTCCTTACCTATGGATTAAGTATTCTCCCGTTATCTCCTTTCAGTATCTGCTTCTGCTATACAGTATTTGAGTTTCCTCCTGTAATTCCTCCAATAATTCAACTTGAGGCATAAGACACTAAATAATTAGGTGAAAACTATCTTCATGGAATCATATTTAAGGTAAACGATGGTTTAAAGAGAAAAACATTTTATAATTAAATACACTAAGATATACTAAATATACTCAACCATTTATTAAAATGCACATTGGTTTGTACATCTAAAAATAATTTTTATCCAAGTCTATCCATAATTGTTCCGGAATTGCTGATGTGCTTTACTGTTTTTACAAAAACTAACGTATCAGGGATAAACACGGATCAGATGACTTGAGATGATTTTTCTCCTCAAGTCTCACTTAACTTACATCTTCAATGCTGGGAGCAGGTACACGAATGGCCAGGCACCTACTACGAATAGGGGATATCACTTTCGATGTAGAATTGCAGCACAAGATCAGCCTGCAAGTGGACATATACTTTTCCATGGTTCTACGCAAAGCATGTTGAGCATCTTTAGTGAGTTTGTCAACTTCAGTCAATAATACCACTGAATGAAAGAGAAACAAAACGAACATCAACTTTATGTCATGCAAATTTAACTTGCTTTCTTTATTTCTTCTCACTATTCACAGTAAAAGCCCACATTGCTCTTTATTAGCAAGGGCAAACTGAAGTTATAGATATGGGAAGAATAACATTATTTTAACTCTTAAAAATTTTGTAATTAAATAAGACTCAGAAATGAACAACATGATGTTTAGAAAGCACTCTGTTGCAGAATTTATTGTAGCCTTTATTATTTATATGCACTAAAACTTACCAAGACAAGAAGGTACTACACTACCTCTTAAATTCTAAGGACTGTATTTTGGAAAAGGCTGCTGTGGAGACATAGCCAACAAGGGCATACATCTGGACATTGGTGCATTAAGAGTCCATCTGGCCATAATCTAGGGCTATAAAAGTGATTCAAGCAATAGTACATATGCAAAAACGAAATCCAATTGTTGTATTTTTCATTTTATTAACAAATTATTTCCATGAGAGTGGTAGTATTTGAATCTTTACATAAAAGCAAGCAAAACAAAACCCCAAGAACAAAGATCTGTAAAATTTATGCCAAAACTAAATAGCAAGTTCTACCTAAGAACTCCAAATACAAACAAGTATTTACAAAAGGAGAAACTGCAACTGAAAAGACTCACCTGGTGTCAGCACCTAAGGCAGAATGACAGAAATCCACATCTTTACAGCTATTAGGTCAGGAGAACCCCAAACTGCCCATAGGTAAACTGCAAATCATCAGGGGAATCATCAGCATGAAGAGAGCAGTCTTAATTAGGAAACAGATTCTACAGACCCCAAACATAGATGAGAGCAAAGGAATCCTGAGGTCTGACAAAGTAGTAAGATTGTCAAACTAACGAAGCCCCCTGCTAAATCAGTTCTCCACAGTAAGCAACCCCTGAAACAAAACTCAAACTCAGCAGAAGAGGAAAGAGACAAAGCAAAGAACACACAGGGAAAGACAAAAGATAGAGCTCAGGACACAAGACCATATACTTTATTTGCCTTATGACGATGAAACAAGAGGCAACTGTTACAGCCTTGAATCAAGGAAAAATGTCTCTGGCCTCCTCTTCCATCCTAAGAATACTAGAAAATTCATTCACTTAAGGATCACAACTGAGTTTATAGCATAAAAGAAAGAAGAACAAAACATCTCTATGAATCAGAATATTTAAATATTTTCTAAAATGTTAAATATTATTTTATGTAACAGTAAACTTAATACAAGAACATGTTTAGTGTTTTTAATGATTTTAGTCTAACTGAGCCTGGGAATATTTTAAGTATTTTTAATGACTCTAATACATTTATTTCACTTTTAAAGGTCTATAATTATAATTAGAAGTTATTAATTTTGATTAGTTTAAATTTTTAATCATCTTTCTTACAATAGCATATCTTTAACATAGCTCATATAATAACAGATTAAGAATAGGGACACACTACTTTCTAAATATTTAAGTATATACCGTTATTTTTGCTTTGAATAATGATGCTTGAAACAGTGACTAAGTAGTAATAGACAGACAGAGAACAGGACTTTCTTCTTAAAAATATATAACAATCAAGTAAGAAATGAATAATTTTAATATCAAAAAATCTAGTAATATAACCTATAGCAACACAAGGAAAAAAATCACAGAGCAATATTCGTGGAAGTGAAAGCAGGAAGCAAAATTAAGCACACATTCGTATTAGAAATACTGAATAAACACCTTATTATGATCAAACTTATCATGCTAAAATTCCCTAACTAAATGGGAAAATCTTAAGGCTTCCTTCCAGAATCTGACATGGATCTATTGTCTCTCCTACTATCAAGCAATATATTGGCAGTTCTGGCCAATTTAAAGAGACAAGAGAAAGTTGGGGGTTTTTTGGGTTTTTTTGGTACAGGGAATTGAACTCAGGACCTTGTGCTTGCCAGACAGGCTCTGTGCCACCAACCTATATCCCCGGCTCAAGAAACTATTTGAGAGCCATACAAGTATAAAGGAAGAGAAAAAACTGTGTTCATCTATGATATGTCTCAAAACTCCAAAAGCAACTATGAAAAGATTATTATAGATAATTGGAAAATTTAATATTACAGAAAAATATAAAATTAAGTTATAAACATCAAGTTGCCATATAAATGTCAGAAAACAAGGGGCTGGGGATTTAGCTCAGTGGCATAAGCGCCTGCCTTGCAAGCAGGCAGTCTTGAGTTCGATCCCTGGTACCGATAAAAATGAAAAAGACAAAAAAAAAAAAAAAAAAAAAGGTCAGAAAACATAAAAAGTTTATTTGTAACAGGAAAAACTAAATTCACTAATGCAAACTTATTTTGAAATATTGACACTAAGAAAATCAAGAAACAATCTAAGACTATGCACAGCCAATTCATAAAAATAAGCCATTAACAAAAGAAATTATCATACTGAAAACAGTATTTTTCTCTCTAAAACTTACAAATAATAAAACAATTATTTGCAGCGGTCATAAATGTTTAGGAGAAATGAACACTCCCAAACACTGCTACCAGTAATATAAGCCTGTATCCCTTTCAAACCAAATTGCATTTAGGAGCTACCTCATTTTAATTTTCTTCCTGTTCACTGAAATGGTTGATAATGAATGTGAAACCTGGGTCATTAATAGCAATTATTTTAAAACTGTATAATTTTTTGTTATAATGTGTGTTTTTATCACTTGTTTTAGAACATCAAATAAATGCCAAAAATAGTATTCTTTCCCATAAAATTCAACAATAGACTTTTCCCATGAGCAAAGAGATGATACCATGTCGTTCACTTTAATAACACAAAACTAATAAATTAAAAAGGTAAGGGAGCATTAGTGCTTGGCAATCTCATTAGAAGTCATCTTTTCATCACATACCTTTAAAATCTCTTTGAGAGTTTGTCTCAAGTTGCTGTGACTGTGCCACAGTTTTCAACATCTCCTGAATCACGACTCGATCACTATTTCCAGCATCACTACATAAAACAAGTAATAAAACATCGTGTAAATGTATACAAGCAATCATGCCCTCTTGTTAATGCTAGAGAAATGCTGAATGCTTAACTGGTTAAAATATTGGTCAAAACTAATAACAATCATAAACCTTCAAAAGTGGAACGCTTTGGAGTCATTAAAAATATAAACAATATTCCAGGTGGATTGTCACAGCAAACACTAAACATGTTCTTACATTAAGTTTACTGTTACTTAACAGGAACAATTATATAACTGTTTAGTAAATACTTTTGACACTTCTGTACCCACAATAGAAATACCTAATTATAACGAATTTCTCAATTATCTGTAATTATGAACATATAAAAATAATTCAAAACAGAAATGTAATTTCTATTCCTCATCTCTATGCCTGTTTGTCTGACAGCAAATAAGCCTACAGAAGTCTATACCCAGTACTAGCAGGGAGGTGATTCAAGGACTCAGCTAGAGGACAGAATAGGCAAACTGAACTTAAGACAAAAACCACTGGGTTAGTATAGGCACAAACCTATCATTTACACCCATGTTATTGTCTGGCACTTTATGAAGCACCTCAAAACAACAGAAGTCATCCACTTAACTTAGGGTGAATGAATGTTTTAGTAATCAGCTTGATCTCTAACTGATTATATCTTCCCTCAAAGGTGCTCAAAAAGAAACAAAAACAAGAAAAGAAAATGGCAAAGTAGCAAAGTAGCCTTATTTTCCCAAAAAGCAATTAAGTTATCCCAATATAATTATATCCATGTATCTAAAATATCTTTTTTTTAGTGTTCTGTTCCTAGCCAAAAATTCTTAACAAGCCAGCTGTGTTGGCACATGCCTGTAATCCCAGCACTCAAGAAGCTGAGGCAGGATTATTTATTAAGAGTTCAAAGCCGGCTTGAACTGCATAGGGAGACACTGTCTCAAAAAAAAAAAAAAAAAAAAAAAAGAATCCCAAACACTTTCATTTGTCTTTGGAACTAACATTCCTATTTTTATGATCAGATGCATACCCACTAATCTTCCTTCTCTTAATTTTCTCTCACATACTTAGGGAAAGTTATATCTATCTGTTAGGATTATTTTAATAACATAACCCATACAGAGCTTCTCACTCAGTGCCTACTAATGAATGTCACACATACATTAGTTTGAACTCTATTCCCGTGCCAAGGATAGTGTACATACATGCCTATAATTTTACCACTCTGGGAGGCTGAGGCAAGAGGACTGCAAATTCAATCCTGGCCTGAGAAATCTAGCACATAGAAAGATCCTGACCCCAAAAAAGGGATGGAGGCTATATCTCTTGCAAAATCCATGACTTCCAATCCCTTACCCTGCAAAAAATCTCTATTCTGCCTGCTCCATTCAGTGTCCTCTACCTTCTTAAAATACTCATTCACTTTTGTCTTTGTGCCATTGGGCATACAGTTGCTTTTGGTTAGAGGTCCTTTATTCGCCTTCAAGAACATATTAGGACCCACAGAATGTTAAAGCTTTACTGAACTTTATAGCTGCTGTATGAGTTTATAGTGTCTCTCACAAGATCTTAATCTATTTCATGCTAAACACACAGACGTGAACAGCGAACTATTATAACTTTCACCAAAAATGTAAAAACACTGAGTTAAAGACCTGCAACACAATTTTCTGAAATATTTACTCCAGACACTACAAACATTTCAGACAACTTCTCTTTTCAGTACTCAATGAGCCCATGTACTTTAACAAACCTTACCAACAATAAAATATTACTGAGTTCTGTAAAGCTCTGTAGAGCTCTCTAGAGAAAAACAGTCTACTTTTCAGTCTGATATCACAGAAAAGATAAAGTGAGAAAGCATTAGGCTCTACGGCCTGAGAGGGAAAATTAACATTATTTTGTGCTTCTATATACATGATTTTATTTCAAAAAGATTCTAATCTTAAAAATTAAGTGTAATTGCTTATTTCCATCAATTTTTTTCTTTAAAAAGTTTAGCAGTTTACCTGGGATTAACTTCAAGGTGGTAATTACTTGCAATAGTGCTGATTTCAATTTTTTTTTTAGATGGAGTCTGTGGACCAAAAAAGAGTAAGTCAGTATTTGTTTATTGGCTATGCCCCTTTACACTTTCATTTGTTCTTATTTTGTTATATAAATAACTGAAACACACTAAAAAAATAAAACTTGAGATACTTACCATTAATGCAACTCCATTAACCTGTCCTTTCCTTTCTTTCTTCCAATATTGAGGACTGAAAAAAACCAACCTTGAACTGAGCTACGTATCCAAACCTATTTTATTTATTTATGGTACTGGGAATTGAACCCAGGGCCTTGGTACAGAGCTATAGCCCCAGTTCCCTACTTTCTATTCTTTTTTTTTTTTTAATAGGGTCTCATTAAGTCCCTAAATTGTTTGGAATGGGTTTGTCGCAGAACACAGGGATTACTAAATTTTTCTAATTTTTTGAGACAGGGATTTACTGTACCAAGTTGCCAGGCTGTTTTCAAACTTGTGATATTTATGTCTCTGCCTTCCAAGTAGCTGGGATTACATGCATGTACCACCATGCCTGCCACCCCATTCTTACAGTGTTTATAATATATGAGTCATATCACATAATCTGTTATTACTTTTTCCTTTATCTCCAAAATTCCCCCAAATCATTCTCAATTATCACCAAATTATCATTCTAAACAATGTACATATATCCTTTCATAGTCTTTTTCATATTAATACAAAAACAAAGCATATCCATTGTGTTTTTTGTAAAAAAATAAATAAATAAATGTAACAAAGGAGAAAAGCACATACATACACCTGTGTTTTGCTTTTCCTGCTTAACACTCTATCTTGGCAATCTCTCTCAGACAATTAGTATAATGTTATAGCTGTGTATCAACCTGTATTATGGATATTTCAAATTAGTCATATTGTCAGGTATTTTTTCTGCTTTTTGCCTCTGTGTATATATACATACATACATACATACATATATATTATATATATATATATACATAAACCCATTTGTTTTCAAAAAAGTTCCAACAATTCACTTTCCATGGGCAATACTCTTCCTCAACCCTACCGATAGTAGGTTTTATTATTACTCTCAATTTTTGCCAATTTGACTATATAACAGACTCACAATGCTTAACCATCTTAAAGAGCAAACATCTTTATAGGTGTTTACTGGCCACTTGTATTTCTCTGCTCTGAATATTTGCTATTTCACTCTATCATATTGTTTTGCCATTATCAATTTGTAAAAATCACTATCTAATGTGATTTCAAACATTTTGACTTCCCTTTACCTACTGATTTTAGGTTTATACACTGCCACAGAAGCTTTAAATTCACCCATATCCAAATATCTCTTTAATTTCTTTTCATTTTTATAGTTTCTATTAAAATTCTTAAATCACAGGCAGTTCATACAGCATAAGAAATTTTATTGTTATTTGTTCTATTTTTAGCACTTAAATCTTTTATTCATCTTTTATTTATCTTTAACTCTTTTATTTATTTTTATGCAGTGTAGGTCACATAGATTCAAGCTTTCCCCTCAAGAGATGACTAGTTATACTGGTAGATTTTGCTGGCTCATCCTTTTTCACTGATTTGAAATAGCTACTCTGATCATAGTTTTATGCTCTTTATTGGTTCACTGGCTAACTCATGGCAATGTAGTGTTTTAGTGTTAACATGACTTTATATCTTGTAACATAAGCCCCAATTCACTGATCTTTTTCATAACAACTTGAGGTAATGATACAAATGTATTTTGCCATATAGATTTTAGAGTCATTTCATATAATTAAAAAAGAATTCAACTGTAATTGAAATTTAATTGCAATTTACACTATAATTTTGAGAGAAAGTGAGAAACACTTTTTTTTTTTTTTTGGTACTGGGAATTGAACTCATGACCTCATGTTTGACAAGCAGGCACTTATGCCACTGAGCTAAACCCCTGGCCAAAAAGACACTCTTAAGTAGCAACTCTCTTACATGATAACATTCTATATCTTGACATTTGATCTGCTTTGTTTTATCTTTCTGTAAGATATTACAGTTTTCTGCCTATAAAATCTGCAGTTTTCTTCTTAAATTTGGCCCTATATTTTGTAAGAATCTCTACTAGGATGTAAACTGACTTGTAAAATCAGTATGTCTACATATAAACTAACCAAGGACTAAAAATGCTTACTGTGATGGTTTGATGTTCAATTCTCAATTTTTCAACTCCAACACCATAAAGTTCACGTAAAATACACATAATTCTTGTCTTTTTTCCAGCTCCTGATGGTCCATATACTAAGAGGTGAGGAAAGTCACCACACTGCACCTGAAAAAGAACAAGACATTTTTCCTTAGTCAAACTAAACTAACTGCTCTAGATAGAACCGAATTACTTTTCAGTACCAAATGTTTTGTAAACCAACCTATGTAACTCTGGAGGACCCATTTAATTTAAATTAGTATACGTGTAATATCAATGAACTTTTTAGTTCAATTTCAATTTTTACATGAACTTTTCTAAACATCTTTTATATATATATCAATAGTCCTATTTATCATTTTTCAGCTTTTAGAAAGTACTTAATAATAGTATCTATAGCTCTGAAAAAAGTTACTATCTAAAGACCAGAGTGCTAAGCACCAAAAAATTTTCATCGGCATAAAATATGTATTACTCTTTGGTCTGCAGTAATTTATTTTCCTTAAGATCCTTTTTTTCCCTCTCCACTCTCCTTCAGTTGGATGTGTACAACACAATGCCATTAGACATTTTTATCAAGCACACCATAAAAATAGGCACTGGGTTAAAGAGGACAAAACTCATGCATATGGGACTAAACTCAAGGATACTCCAATACAACATAATGGAGTTAGAGATGACCTTCGGTGTTAATAAATACACTTTCCATGCAAATGAAGATAATGACCAGAAGAAATTTCAAACACGGCTGCAAAAAAAGTCTGCTAGACGACGTCACTTCTCCATTCACAATCCTCCAGTGGCTTCCCATCTACTCTAGGTATTTAGTGGACCTGCAACACCTTCCCACTCTTCAACTTGCACGCCTCCCTCCCCTTGCTACTACTTTCTGGGCTGACTTCTTACAGTTCTGCTACGATGACATTCCTGAGTTTCCTAGCACAAGCTGCGCACACTCCTGCCAGAGCAGTTTTATACTGTCCCTCCCTCTGCTTCGCTCTTTGACCACTACCTGTCATTATGAGTTTGTCACTTCAAGCCTAGTCCGAGATGACAGAGCAAAACGTTCCTCGTTTAAAAGTGCAAGGCCCCACCTTACACCCTCATCCTGCTTCACAATTTTCTTTTTCTCCCTAATTTTTACCCACTTCTGGAAAGGGCGGGCACGCGGTGCACAGCTCCGCAGGGCGGGAGTGCCAAGCCAAGGGCTCCCCTCCCCGCTTTCTTTTTTTCCGGTCCTAACCGCGGCCCACTCACCAGGTTGCGGAGCTGCGCTGCCTGCTCCTTGTGATAGTCCAGTCGTCCTAAAGAGCAGGGCCGGTATTTATCCACCCAGAGACTCATGGCAGCGCTAAGCCTGGAAATAGAACACTTAAAAGAGTTCAGCGCGCGCCCTTTGCGCGGGATCCGTAAAACAAGTTTTCCCGCTAATGGCAGGTCTCGTGACGTCACTACCGGCCGCTGCATAAACCCGGTAATGACGAAAAAACCACGGAGGGGGGCTCGGGACAAAATTCATCACCTTGTGAGAGCCCTGTAGCTTATAATGCTTATCGTTTTACTGTATTTTCTTTGCTCTGATTTGGTGTGTTGTTTTAGAAACTATTCCCCCAAATTGAGAGTATATATCTGATACTCTGGGCTTAAATCTGGGTATCTCAGAAACAGAAATTTATTCATTTTGCTCATTGAATAAATTTTTTTTCCACAGAAATTTACTAAATAGGTACAGTACTATCTGTCCATCTCTGTTGTTCATACTAAAATATATCCAGCTGGAGGTTTCTCTCACTTGGCAGACATTTAGTACACTTTTACTGCATAAGCTGTTTAAGAAACAGGACATGATACTTATTTTTTTACTTCCATTCCTCAGGATGCTTAATGGGTTGCAAACCAAATCAAAAGAGCATTTAAAAAGTGCTATAGAAATAATGATATAGAGGTCCGAAACTCCCTATCTACTACATGTCTAATACTGGTCTGTGTTCTCTAAAATCAAAGAATGAATTTTAGGAACATCAGAGATTAAGAGCAGAATACATTTATTGAGAGAGAAAGCTTCTATCTGAGAGAAAGATAGAAAGGGTCCCCAGTGCGTTGCCAAAGACCCTGCTTTTCTAGGGATTTTATACAGTAAAACCATGAGGTGAGACCGGTCCAAAATGGGAACTGGGAAGACGGGCATAAGGTGAGACAGAACTATGGTCAACCAATTGTTGGGGCACAGTTATAATGCAAAAACATATTCATGAGATGGTAAACTTAAAGATACTTCATGATCAGTTAGAGGCCTCTGATCAAGTTACTGTTCTGCTATTTCTGCTAAATTCAGTTGACTCTGACAGTGTCTGCAGCCCTGTTGCATATGAGCACTATTAAGTCAGATTAACTGTCTATACCTTAAGGCACCCTGGGCTGATTCATGCTCATCAGTCAGTCTCTCTCTCTCTCTCTCTCTCTCTCTCTCTCTCTCTCTCACCCTCCTGAACACTTCTGTGTTATGGTAATGCCCTTAACTGTGCTCAGGGAGCCCCTCTCCTGGTTCCTGGAGTGTTTCTATTGTTTCAAGATCAGCCTGCCTGTCAATATGTGATCCAATGTATGTAACCAATCATGTAATTTTTGATCACTTGCTTTGTACTTGGAATCTCAAACCCATATAAAACTGTTATTGTGCCCTTAAAACTGTTTTCTCAAAATGTACTCTTCTAGTTCTATGTATATCACTTACTTATTTAATTTCTATTTTTATGTAAAGTCCTAAATCCTATCATTTAATAGGACGGTCTTACAAGATTGAGTTCCTGTGATAACCCTCCAAAAATGTGCTATATCTCCTTCTCTATTAAACAAAAGTTAATTGTGCTGTTCCATCACTCATCATATTACATCAGTCACTATAGCAAGCAAGGTATTATTGAGCACAATAACTACCAAATGTAAGTACAATCCCTATTCCTAAAATACTGTCTGAAACAAACCTAAGGGTGTTTACACTTACTAGTTCCTCCTTTGGGACAATTTTTATGCAATATAGGCAGAATTGAATATCTGATTTCCTCTCCTTACTATTCTACCTAGATCTACTCACTGAAGACTCCCCAGCCCCCACCTTGTTTAATACTGCAGAAAATGTCCATGTTTTCTGAGATTCTCCCTTACTAAGCTAAAATGAAGAAAAAGTGTCTGAAGTGAAAGACAAAAGAAAATCAGAAGCAACAACATTGAAATATCATATTTGTACTTATCAGTCACAAAAAATGATGCTGGAAACAATTATTGAGAGGAAGGTGAATCAGGTATAAAAATGATCGAGGATTTTCCAGGAGTGCTCATCAGTTATGACAAGTTCAAAAAGAGAAGTAATTTGTAGTAAATTCTAAAGGCATGCCTTTCATAATTATTGCTCAATATGCTGACTTTGAATTACCCTGAATTTCAGATTCCTCTGCTCTAAAATGAGTTTTTAAAAAACCTTGTTTTCCATGATTTGTTGAAGGTATAAATAAAATATGTTAATACATAGCACCTGAGCAAAATGATAAAACTGCCATTTTAAACATGCAACCAAACCTTCCTGAGGTGCTCAAAGTGAACTGCTGCCCTTCTTGGGCTCTTCTGCTCCTGCATTTTAGTGGTTCATGCCTTTGCATTTTTCTAGGCCAAATCTGTAATTGAGTCTCAATAGATTTAGGAGAAAGACTTTTCTCTAGGCTCGATCCAGTTATAAGGGTGGTGATAAGGAGCATAATTCATGATCTCAAGAGGCCAAGAGACCAATTAAGAGGAAAGAGGTAATATTATTTGTTTATTTTCTACTCAGAGAAGTACCCTAAAATGTTTACCACTTTGTCTTCACCTGCCTGTGTTTGAATTTTTTTTTTTGCATTTTCCTATGTATGTGCAGATTTTACTGAATACTCATTTTATTTGGGGTTAATCTGAACAACTTTCCAGATTATGTCCTCTATTTCAGAGTAAGTGCTCTGACCACTTTTTCTTATAATTTACTAACAAATTGACAGGGATAGCATCTGTTCATGATTTAACCCCTTTCTTTGGGGAAGGACCAGTGGTTAGATTCCTCTCTCCACTGTAGAAATAATATTAAGTCATTAAAAATAAGAAATAATTTTGAGCAGAGATTTATCACAGGAACTTTTTATAAAACTACATTTAACATGTTATACTAGTGTGAATTTATCTTTGTGAAATAAGCAAATGCATATTATGATGCAAATAGCTTGAAAAAAGTAGTTTAAAACTCAGAAAAAGAGGGTAGAAATGTAAAAATCATTTTAGTCTGCTACAGAAGAATTTCTCTTTATCAAATCTCTTTCCTATGCCTATATACTTTTTCCAGCTTCTGTGGTTAGTAGAATCATAAGGCAGAGTACTGGGTATTAGAATATGAACTACCGTGATCAGTGGCAGGCTTCTCTACTCTTACTTTAAAAATCTTCTGTATGTTCCAACATGTAATTTTGCTCATTGGTCACTTTAATGTAGGGAATCTGGTGGAGGACTCGGAGGGTCCAGATAACACTTGAGGAACTAAAAGAAAACCAGATTCCTGTATTTTGACATGAATTGTATTCTATAAGCAGAACAGATAATTTGTAGAGCAGATGTTTGGATAGATCTTTAGTGAGAAACTGTGGAAAGTGAAACGGTAGGGTGAACAGCCTTGCAAGGGTTTTTATTAATCAGGGGTTCCTCTGTATAATAACTTTGACATTTTTATTAGTATGCTTGATTCACAAAAAATAAATTCATTGTGAGGAATTGGTACATATACATACCATACCTTAATCCTTTAAATTCCTCTTTGCATCCCTTACTTTCTGTCTCTCTCCATCTCTACATCCCTTTCCCATATGCAAAAGGACTACCTGCCTGTTTCATGTTGTCTGATTTTTATTTTTATCTTTAAATTATTTATAGTTTGGGTTTCTTATACAAGAGAAACCATACATTGTTTAATATTTGTTTCTGAGTTATTTCATTTAGCATTCTGGTCTCAATGTGTATCCATTTTCCTAATAATGAATTAAATGTATTCTCCTTTACAACTGATATACATATGTAAATATTTTATATATACATTCATCCATTCATCTTTTGATGGACGAAAAGGCTGTTTCCAAGATTTAGGTATTATCAGTTCTAGTGCTATAAGCATGGGTATGCACGTTTCACTCTAATATGATGTCTTTGACTCTTTTTGAAAGATACTCAGAAGGGGAATAGCATCTATGTTCACTACAGAGGTTCATTTTTAGTACTGTTTTTTAGTTGGGCCCTTCTCTGGGTTTTGGAATCAAGGTAATTCTAGCTTCCATGATAAGCATGGTGTTAGATCCTCCCTGAAATTCTTTATAATTCAGTGGTGAAGCCACAATTCCTGAATTTAATTTTACACTGTGCCTTACAAATATATAGCCACTGATGTACCTATTAAACACGTCCCTATATTGGTAACTCTTAGTATATGGTATCATTTTACATTCTGCTTTCCATGAATTTATTCTATATATCTCATGTAAGTGGAATTATACAAAGCTCATCATTTGTATCTGATTCATTTCACTTACTATAATATATGAGTTTCAATCATGTATCCAAATTTCATTTTTAAGGCTGAATAATATTATATCCTGTGGTTATTATAAGTTTTGTTTATTCATTCAGTGATGGACATTTGAGTTTGGGCTATTATGAATGATCATCGTATTGCTATGATGATCATTGAAGTACAAGTATATCTGTTCGTATTCCTGATTTCAGTTGTTTCACCCAGAGGGTGAGTTGCTAAATTGTATAATTCTTCATTTTTTTTTTGTCTTTTTCGTTTTTATCGGTACCAGGGATTGAACTCACGACTGCCTGCTTGCAAGGCAGGTGCTTATGCCGCTGAGCTAAATCCCCAGCACCTCTTCATGGTTTTTTAAAACAACTATCATACTGTTTTCCATGACTGCTACACTAGCTTACTTGCCCACTTACAATATTCAAAAGTTCTAATATCTCAACATAATATCAATCAACAATTTTTACAATTTTTGTTATTCTGGTAGGATTGCAGAGGAATCGCAAATGGTTTTAATTTCCTAAGAGATAAAGGCACTCTATCAAGTGTTTAATAATGACCAGAACTTGCTTTTGTAAAGTGTCTATTCATGTCTTTTCTTGTTTGTTTTTGTAGATTTATGTATTTGTTCTTTTTTAAACATATGTATTAAAAATATCTTTATCCTGTTTAGGTTGGCTTTGAATACTCCTTAAAAGCCTTTGCCCAGGCCAGGGATACAACAGTGGCACTAGTGCTGGGCTGGCAAGTGGAAGGTCCTGAGTTTAATTCCTGGTGCCAAGAAAAAAAATACATTAAAAATAAAGCCCTTTCCAACTCTAAAGTCACAAAGTTATTTTTCTATAGGAATGGAAAAAAAAACCTGGA